CGCACCACCACACCTGGCTAATTTTTGTATTTTTAGTAGAGATGGGGTTTCACCATGTTAGCCAGGATGGTCTCAAACTCCCTATCTCAGGTAATCTGCCCACCTGTCCCACCCAAAGTGCTGTGATTACAGGGGTGAGCGAACACGCCTGGCCAGGATGTCCATTTTCTATTAAATGAGCCCCATGTGTCCTGCGAAATGTTAACAATTATCATTATTACTTTTCTGCTCCAAGTTAAATTAGGCCAGAGTTTACACTCACTCAAGAATGATGAGTCTGAAGAGATATGTAGAGTAGGAATTGAAATGTAAAAATCAGAATAGTAGAGAGAGAGAATGGAGGGTAAGCCTTTAGGAGATTAAGTAAAAGAGTTTGGAAAAACAAAATCGTGATTATAAAAAGTAAAACAGAAAGGATGAATATGAAAGACTTTATAAATGAGTCATTATCTATTTTATTTATCTTCTTTTAAAAAATTCTTACATGGCACCAGCTGCTTCTCTCACACTTCACACCCCCAGGTCCAAACTACTTTCTCTGAGCCCTTTCTTTAAAAAAAGAAAAAAAGTAAAGTAATCTTCCAGATAAAAACTAAGACTTGTTCCTCCCCCTCTTTCCTTTACTCTCCATTTCCATAACTTATCTTTCTCTGTGAAAGTACAGGTGGGAAATAATCAAGGAAGTGTGTGTGTGTGTGTGTGTGTGTGTGTGTGTGTGTGTGTGTGAGAGAGAGAGAGAGAGAGAGCGAGAGAGAGAGAGAGAGAGATTTTGATCATAGTCTACAAGAAATCTCTAGAGACTGCTTTCAAACTAAAACCAATTTCATACCCAATAGAAAACTTTAGCTTCATTGAAGGAAACGCTAAATGGGAGCATTCAAAAGTGTTTTTCTAGAAAGAAACCAGTTCTGAATACACTTGCCCAATTACTACCAAGAAATCTTCTCTTCCTTAAACCCAGAAATAAAAAGAGAAGTGCTGTATTGATAATGCTTTGTGTCATTTATCCAGGGCAAGTGAAAGATACTCTGGTTATCAGTGATTTTCTTTGTCAAGCATAATTTTTCATGAGTTATACTTTAGCAAAATACTAAATTCAATGTCAATTATTATTATTTTTGCAAATGTCTTCCAAGCAACATAGAAAGAACAAAGGTGGCATTAGTGGGAGAAAAAAGGCAAATGCACATTAACCTAATATTTTAGATCAAAATGTGCCAAATTAATTCAGCTTTAGTGTGTTGGGTTTTATGAACTTCCCAAATTACATGTCTATTTGCTGCTGATGTCTGAAAGACAAGTGGAGGTGAGACCAACAAGAGATTTACACGTACACTGATAGAAAGGGATAATGTTGCATCATTCCGTTTTTCTTCTTGTATATTTATTTCTTATTAGCAGCTTGAAATGATCCATAGATCAGGAAACTGGTAGACACTGCAGACTTTTCTGGTTACTGCCACTCACATATTATCTTTTCTTCAAGGCCCATTCACTCTTAACCAGAATTCCCAACAGAGAGGAGAGTGGAATAGACATGGAAACCTCTAAAAAGTTTAGGCACTATATTACTAGCACATCCCTCTCAGCTGCAAATATAAAAGTCTCGAATAGACTTAATTTCTTTATATTGATGTAATGGATTAAAATCTCAAATTAATATTTTGTTTCTGAATTTTTCATATTCATTCTTTAAAGAATATTAACTAAATATAGGACTGATTATTTGGTGATTATTTAGGTGTTACAAGTGAAAATGTGTATACTAGTGTCTATGGATCTATCTCAAATGTTTCTTCAAATTTTGTGTATTCTTTCTTCATATGCTAGTTGTGAACTTTAATTTGGTGCCTCTATCTGAAAACCAAGAGGAGGTCAGACACCTAAAAATATCCTCATTTGCATCTGTTTCCCTTCCTTCAGAGAAGGAGTGTTGGCCCACCCAGTTTTGCCTTGACAACAAGGAAATAACTAGTGACAATTTGGTAATTAAAATTCATTGTTGATCTCTCATGCTACCATGTCAGGTCTTCCATTGTTTGGCTTAAACTGATGCTGAATTGCAAGAGAGCAGGACAGGTGCCTGTCATTTTTACATTCTGGATGGTTGCCAGCAGATGTGATCAGTAAAAGTCACTTGATGTGAATCAAAGAACTTGGTTAAGTGAATCAGATCTTCTTTACTTTGTCTTCTTACAGAAAACATGCTATAAGGTTCATATTTTTTAAAAGTCATGAAACAAGAAATAAAAAATTTATCCCATATTTATTAAATACAGATCACTTCCTTCCTAAAAACATTTAAGTTCAGTTCTCCAGAATGAAAGAGATAAACATGTGTAGATGCAAATCAATTCTGTATTGGCTTCTTATTACCACATTAAAAAGAAAATCTGAAGATATAAGTTATGACTTAATTTTGATTTTGAATGTGTACTGCTACCTAATGTACATAAAATAACCATCACAGAATGAAACTGATATATCTAACAGCTAGCTGCATTTAAATGATTTTAAAATAAGTGCTTATAAAAAGTCAATTTTTGATGTTTTGCTGCTTAGGAATGAAACAAATCACAAATATGTTTTTATTTGATTTTCTCTGACAGGACTGGGAATTCCCCCATTTCATGGGAGACGTTGATGTAAATCTCCCTGGTTTGCACACCCCTCACATGCAGTTCAAGATTCCTTTCTTCCAGAAGATCTTCAAGGAGGAATATCGTATTCACATAACAGGTGTGTTGTATCTTCGAACACAATTTGATTATCTTCGTACATTAGTCAGGGTAATGCGAGTTGCTGTAAAAAGCAAGCCATAATATTTGAGAGGCATAAATACAATTTTATTTCTCATTCACTTAACAGTGCAAGGTGGTTTTCAGATCAACAGGGGGCTCCGTACTATCATTCTGGGACCTAGGTTACTGGTGGCTTGGACAGTTTCAGTGTTAGCATCCAGCAGGCAGATGGAAATAAAGAGAATGGGGAAAGTGATTAAGAAGGCTTGTCTGTTCTTTAACCTCTTGGGCTTGGAAAAGAAATGTGTCACCTTTCCTCGTGTTCCATTGATGATATCTGGTGCATAGCCCTAGTTAGAGTCAGGGAGAGCAAGGAAATATAGTCCTTAGTTGAGCAGCCACTTCTGGTGTCAGATCTAGTATTCTAGTGTAGGATTATCAAAGAGGGAAGAAAAATCTTTGGTGTGGAGAGCCATTTCTGCCATACTCCGTATACCACTCTACCTGACCTGGTTCATTGGATGGGTTTATTTTTCGCCACGTAGGACTCAGTGTCTATTTTCAATGTTATATTCTTTATGCTCTTGTTCTTTATTTGTTGCTGAAATTAAAACAATGGTATCCTAGAGCCCCAATCAGAACATATGCTTTTAGGGAGTTAGGCCACTTCTCATTTGATTTCTCTAAAACCTACTTCTGTGGCAAAGCTCGGGTTCGTCTTAAGTGATTCTCTTGTGGATCTTCAGATTATTTTATTTTCAGATATTTTCTGCTTTTGAAATGGCTAAAATATGATTTATTATAATATCCTTTCATGACATATCAGTCATTCTCATCTAAGAAGGGCTTCCCGGAGCTACGTTTTATATCTCTCTCTCTTTATGACAAGAAGCAGACAGCTGAATGATCACCGATAAAGGATGGCATTAGTTCAAAGCTGTTCAGATGCAGGTAATGAATGTGTGTCTGTTTTAAGGACAATGGCCTAGGATCCCACACCTGGTATAATAAAATCTGCTGAAGAAATCTGTGCTTACACTACCGTCTGTGCTGCTGAATAAAAATAGTCTGAGCCCAGAAAACATTAACATCTGAGTACTGCAAAAAACCTTTGCTTCCCAGTTAGGAGGCTGTTTTTTGCTTTGAGCATGAGGCGACCTTCCTAAATTGGAGAATGAGCTCATGAATAGGGAAGATGCAGCAGGTTTCTTTTCCTATTCAAAATGAATGAGGCCCATCTATTAAATTCACTGGGTAAATCAATCAATTTGAGTTCAGGTCACATAGTGTGGTTTCAGAGTCCCCACTTAATCTCTGCAGCATGCTACCCTCTTGGACTTCTAAAACAGCTATCACACACATGGCATCATCATATCCCTTTGGGTGGGCTTTTGCGTAGACCATCTGTTCTTGCTACCAGCTCTTGTCCCAGGCCATCATTACACTAATATTGTCTCTGACTCTCAGAATGCCTTGTCAAAAATATCCTCCTTAAGTACAGAACTTCATGTTTAAAAAGGAAAAAAAGAAAAAAAAAAAAAAAAAAAAAGGAGAACCTATTGGTAAGAAAAAAATTGAGCTGCTAAAAATATTTAGTTTTGGGTTATTTTGTATAACTTTATCATTTACATTGTCATTTATAGACGGTACAGATTTCAGATTTGTGGTGTCCAGAGTTTACACAATATGGAATACTCTGTTTAAGAAGATGAATATAAAATTACATCTCAAAATTATATTCAGTGCCTCGGAAGGGGGCCATGCATGCAGAGTCCCTAAAGCTTCAGTGTTATTAACTTTGAGGTAAAGCCTACTGTGCATTTAGATAGAAGCAGATACATGACTTCCATTTGAACTAAAACCCTTTTCCCACCAAGAATTATTTTCTGAAAACCTAAAAGGATGAAAGGCTAAATTTTTGTAGCAGACTGCACATTAATCTGGTTTGCCCGAAGGTGGGAAAGTATTGTAATTAAGACTTTGGTGCAGTGTTTGCCATATGATGCTGATGGCCTAGTCATCAGGGAACTTTATAAATACTCAGATTGTTGGGTTTCTTTACTGATGTTTTGATCCAGTAGGTCTGGGTGAGGGCCAGAGGATGGGACTTTGGAAAAGCTCCCCCAAGTGATGTTGATAATTGGGGATGTCTCCTTTCTGATTGAGAGACTACAGACGAGATCAGAGCATCTCCCTGAAATGCACCATGCAAACAATTGGGTGCCTGGACTTACCAAAAAGGCTTTTGAGGATCCTGGAGCTTAAATTCAAAATATTAATAAAATAGGGGGCGAACGTGGTGGCTCACACCTATAGTCCTGGCACTTTGGGAGGCCAAGGCAGGAGGATCACTTGAACCCATGAGTTTGAGACCAGCCTGGGCAACATAGGGAAACCTCAGCTCTTAAAAAAAATAAAAAATAAATTAAAAAAAAATTAGAAAGAAAGAAAGAAAGAGAAGGAGGGAGGGAGGGAGGAAGTTAGCTTGGTATGATGGCACACTCCTGTGGTCTTAGCCACTTGGGAGGCTGAGGTGGGAGGATTGCTTGAGCCCGGGTCAAGGCTGCAGTCAGCCATGATGGCACCACTGCACTCTAGCCTGGGCAAGAGAGCTAGATCCTGTCTCAAAAAATAAACTAAAATAGGGTAGGTGAGGACTGTGGAGTGAAGGGCTCCACCATAAACAAATTAAATCCAATTTGTGGTAAACCTGGTTTGTTCACATGCATTCACATAGCCATGATAAAAATACTAGGAAAATGGCACAGGTTTGGAATTTGAAGCAGTCTGAGCTTTTCTCTCTCATTTTCGTTCTGTTTCTTTTACTCTTTCTGCTTTGTTAATTGGCTGAAGAGGTTGCTGAGGCCACCCCAGAATGGCATCTAGTCTTCTGTGAAGGGGTTTTTGCGTTACCTGACTACATTTGTAAGACAATTGTTTCTGTGGAAACCTAGGTAAAATTTCCAAAATACTGTGCTACATGCTGCATTTCAATATTCTCAATAGTTAGTAGCCTACAAATTTCCATGTGAACTACAAATTCTAGCTTGTTGATCAGCTCCTCCAAGTCCTGGTACTTTTTTTATGGAGACTTCAGTGCTTTCCTTGATAACTAAATATAGTATCACCACTGGGATTAGTAAGCATAAAACCCTCTAGATCCATCAGGGGATCACAAACATTAATGTGTATTAGAATCACCTGGAGAGCTTATTTAAAAGACATCTGCATTAGCCACACCTCCAGAATCTGATGCCTCAGGTATGCGGCAGACTTGGAATCCACCCTTCTGTCAAGCATGGCAAGTGATACGTCTGCTGGCTGGCAGAGAACTGCTCTTTGAGACACACTGCTACTGAGAGACATTTTCTATAGTTAGAATTCCTCTTATCTCAGCTTTAATTTGTTTTCATATGCAACTGTTAAAATCAAAAGCCAAGGGGTAGAATGCAAATTCAATAGCAGTGGGATGACCAGGGAGAAAGGCACATGGTAGAGTCCTCCTAGGAGCTGAAATTTTAGAGCTGGGTCCAGCAGAGGAGACTATGATTGCGGAAAGGTGCTGGTCTGAGTGACCACAAAGGAAGCTGGAGCCAGGGATGGGAAGGGAACCTGTAGAACCCCAAATGGCTCCCTCTGTTGCTTTATCTGCTTTACTCATTCTGCACTAGAAGAGCCTGGACAAGGACCATGAAGGGTCTCTGGAGTCAAAAGTTGACTCCACCTTGGCCCCAATCTACCATGTCCCTATGATCTGGAAAAGACATCCAGCATACACGGAAGCAATGGAGCAAAGAGGTTGGATACATGGGCTCTAGCTTTGCTACTTACTGGTGATGTGGTCCTCGTCGAGTTCCTTAACCCTTCAGAGACTCAGTTTCTCATCTATTTAATGGGCACAGTAATAATACTTATCCCTTAGGATTGTTGTGAGAATTAAAATAATATATGTAAGGCACTTACGACACTGCTTGCCATGTAGTAAGCTTTCAATAAGCTTTCACTGTTTTTTACTTAAAGCTCTTTCTTTCATCTGGCCAGAGATTGTCTTTTTTATTTAATTCAGAAATGCTGGGTAGCTTGAGAGGGTGCCCTCTTGCCACCTATCCACTCTTCTGAGTTCTCTACTATTATCTGCTGTCCTGAGTCCTTAAAAAGGAGAAAGCTAAGAATACAAAATTCTCTCTCCCAAGGAAATACTCTGTATGTAGAGGGTTATCTGACACTGATGAGTTCCCATTGACATTTTAAAAGCATTTAGGATTTGAGTATTTTTTTAATCCTGATTCCAAGCTAGTTTTATTTATGCATGTCAGAAATAACTTGAATTGTTGCATCTGTTTAGCTCATCTGGATCCCCCTTGACAGATGGCTTGCTGCAGTATGTATGAGCTTTCATTTTATAAGCTGGGCCACAGCTGATAAAAATAAATCATTTCTATCCAAGGGTGTTTTAAAATATATTTTTTCTTAGAATTTTGACTTCAGTAACAAAGGGAATAAATGGTCAGCGGTTAAGTAACACTGGTACTTTTAGCCCAAGTTCATTGTTCTCCTCCTAAAAGTAAATGCTAAAAGCAACTGTATAATGATCTTCTCTGCCCTCTTCCCCTTTACCTATAAGGTAAGTGCATAGATGGATTGAAAATGCGATGTACTAAATCTCTGGAGGTGAGAGAGGAATGGCCTCTCAATTCACTCTCGGAAGCTCCTCTGAGTCCTATTAATGCCAATCCCAGTGGAAGCTCTGCCATCTGTCATGGCAGCCAGACAAAGGAAGTGTCCCATTGGTGGCCATCATCTGAGTAAATTAGGAGGGGGTTGGGCAAAAGGCCAGAAGGAAGGCCTGTGCAGCCTTGAGAAAAGAATTCACACTGTTGGCACGATGATGCCCACGGGAACCCTTTCGGCAAAAATGGAACATGTAGAAGTAAACAAACCTATGTAGTGTCTGTTCTATTTCAGTTTCCTGTGTTGTGTGAGGGTACAGGTGTTTTA